CGGGTACATTTTTGCTACGATTTTCCGACAGTGTACTTGGTAAATAACATATTTTCAGTATCATTATATGTGATAAGTACATATTTTTTTTGAATCTCATAAGATCAATGTTTTTGTTGGCTTTGAATTTTAGGAGGCGTTTCAGTTGCTTGGATTGAACTCAATGCCAATGGATACACGGACGTTAAACATATGCAACCCTTTGTTAATGCGGACTTTGAAAATAAGGAAGACGACAAAAAGTTTCGTTCGATTGGCGATCTTATTAAAAATCACCACAAATGTACCCATTTGTATCCCGGAATGATTTCAAAGGATAAGGCATTCGGTGAATACTTCACACAGCCAAATGCAACTAAGAAAGGATACGTTCCAAAACAATGTGAGCTTAATTCATTTGGTAAAAGCGGCAAATTTGCAGGAAGAAATATTTCAAATTCTTAATTTCTTCACTCCATAGATACGTTTTTAGCACCACCTGAGGAAAATGCAGTATCAAGTTCCTCCTCTCCGAGCTCCACTGCTCCGAGCTCCACTGCTCCGAGCTCCACTGCTCCGAGCTCTGATTCCCCAAGCTCAGCTAATTCGGACTTCCCCTTTCCGAGCTTCTCTGTTCCTAGCTCGTCTTCTTCAAATAGTACACAGAATTGGAAGTCATCTCATCCGGCACAATATCCGTCATCACGTCCAATGTAATTATTTAAAAAAATCACCCCGAGAATTTTTTTAAAAATGAAAACCATTAGTCAATCATCAAAAAGAACTATTAAAAAAATATAAGACAAATTGGAAATGAATACAAAAAACAAGGTACAAATTAGAGTAGATATTGGAAATACAAACGTTTTTTTTTCGGGAGTTATCGCACTTTTTTCCGAACACACGATAAAAGATAACGAATTGGTATGTGGAGTGATAGCTCTCGGCCTGTTTTATGCTGGAGATTGTCATCACCTACAGAAGGATAGTTAGAGAAACGTTTTGAGAGGGGCTTTTCAGTTCGATTTAACAACTGTCTTCAATAGAACGAACATCAACAACATTCTTGAATCCGTTTTGATTCATTAAAGTGTGAAAACAGTTCGCTGTGGTGTGTCAACGGTGATTGAAATAGTAGCACCGGTTTTAAGTATATTGGGTGAATAACATTGATTTTTTGTACATTTCCGGGTTCACGATTTGGTTTCACCACCAATTGAGAATGAGGCCATAAAAGTTGCAAAAATCTTTTTGTTAGACATTTTGGATCTAGTTTTGACTCATAACATCACTTATATTTTTAGTGCAGTAAGGCTAAGATAAGTTCACATGATTTTTTTTCTTTCACATTTGATATGCAATTACAGTTCAGGAGGTCAGCCAATCGAGCAACACTTCCAACGTTGGAATCTGGAGGATACGGAATTTTATCGTTTTGAGATGGCGACAACACAACCAACAAATACGTTGGTTTCTATGGAGACTGAACGTACAGATTTTATTTGCAACTAACATAAACTCGTACAGTTTCTATCCGATTGCATTGAAAAAAAAGCCCAAAGAACTCCTGAAAATATGGAAAATTGCAAGTTTCAACGATTTCAACATGAATAAACTTGTAAAGTACACAGGTACACACGTCTCGTGTGATCACCGGTCGAATGGCGTAGAATAATAACTATTTCATTCCACACTGCCAAGTGCTGGCTGAATAAATTTAATGTGTTTTATATTTTCCGAATGTTCATAGAAAATTATGAAACAAAAATGTCGGCCACCTTGTTCAAGTCCATTCCTAACTTTTTATGAACCAAACAATTAAATTCATATTAAATTAGACATAATTATAAATATACTTTTTACTAATTTAGCTATGCTTGGATTTAGAAGACTTTTTTGTGGAATGAATATTGAATAAATAATATTTCCTTGAATTGCTCGAGTTTTCTTGGCATTTTAACTTTTTTCAAAGTATGATAGAGATTTTGGCGATGACAAAACATACATTTTCGGATGGTTCAGCATCTGAGCATTTTGTATGCACGGATATGCTTAACCATCCGAAAATGTATTTTTGGCGAAGACATAAAATGCATTCGCTCGAACTAATGACAGTTAGTCCGTGAACGAGGTATAACAGCAGTAAGTGCGATAGGGACACAATTTCCTTACCTTTTACCTTGCAACAATCTCAGCGGTTCTTAAAAATACGTTTCAGGTTAATGTAATTTTGGACGTCTTTGTACATTTGTGTCAAAGAAGTGATATCATTCGATGATGCATATTCGATTTAAAAATAGAATTTTATCGCATGATATTTGTTAATTTTCTGTCTGTTGTAAGTGTTTGAGGTGCATCTCACGTACCGCGCCTACCCGCTGCCACCCGGTGAATATACATTACATATAATACAAATTTAGCGGATGATCACCCGGAGGAGAATCTACTATATAAACAGAGTACACATAGTACGTAGCGCTACGTGTGTATGGTACACAAAGAGCGCGCACACATTTAGAGGTTCTGTATACGCTTATGCTTGTGTGCGCGCATCGCTAGCTGTTGTTTGTGTGAACGTGAATGCGCGATTTGCTTTTGGATTTTTCACGCTTGTTCTTTTCTTCTTTTTTTTTGTTCTTTGGTCCCGAAGCGACTGATGAGACACACAAGAGAAGGTGGAATGCGATCGCGTTCATTCGTATTTTTCGGTAGTACGCTCAGTAGCAGAACCATTTCGCGGCAATGTGTTCGCTTGATAATGTTATTTATATCTTGCCGCATTTGACGCATGGAATATTCATGCGGACAATAATTTCTTTATGTCACTTTGATTCAGTTTTGTGTATGGTTTTGTCATAGTACACAGCTACAAGAAACTTTTCATTTCATTGTCTAATATATACTAAGAATTGTGTTTTTGAGAAGGCATTTTTTTTATAACATCCTGGCCATTCTCTGTGTCAGATAGACATATTTGTTGTAAGTACAATGATTTCTAAACTTTACTAATTACAATAGTTTTCTGAATGATCATCTATTTGTTCGATCAATTAAAATACCAACTAGTTTTTTATATAGGCTATTGGCCGAAATATTTAATTAAACATGTGTTTGTCCACGTTTCGGAATTTTTTATGCTATATTATCAAGACACTACATTATAGGATGAACAAGAAAACTAATAAACGATTCACTTCTTATTCTTTTTGTTTGTTTGTACGTACGCCTTTGTGTTGACTATGGGATGTACGTACATCGAATTTGAATTCACGCTGAATATGAAGCGTAATATTGCTCTTGGGAACTGAATAAAATGTTCAACAGGTATTATTTCTGTTCGTTCGACCTTGGAAACACGACAATACTGGGAAAAGAAAAAAACATGTTGTTTAAACACACCTACGATTTCTCGTACAAAAATCAATGTATTTCTTCAAATATGGACTAATATACATTCTAACTAACTGAAATAATCATTTACATGTATAAGTAAGTTTGAAAGACGTTCTCTACTGGGACTGAACATGCATATGATTATTCTAGTAAGGAGCGTATATGTATTGATCTATATTGGAAGAAATTTATTGATTATTATTATACGAGGAATCGTCCGTGTTTACGAGTAAAAAGTAAGAAAAGGTTACATTGGCAGTTTGAGTGAAACCTTTATTCATTTTTTTTTTTATTCATTTCATATTGTAGAGTCTTGCTATTAGAGTATTAAAACCTATAGCTACGTCAATAAGAAAATATTTAATGGAATAATTTGACCAATAGCCCCAATCACGTATACAAATCCCAAAGTGTCCAAAAAGCATAGAAGCAATATCTCATAATGCCAATATCACAATAATATGCGGCATAGCGTAACATGTGCCACTTGCGGTCGTAGTATACATTGTCGCAAAACGTGCACGTATGCAATCCCGCAATATATGTATATTGCAAAAAGAAACGAACGAACACAGGCAAGTGTGCGTCACTAGTATACAATTTTAAGCGATCGTCCGCAAGCGGCATATGCTCTTCTATACTAGGCATATTATCGTGATATTGGCATGAGATATGGCTTTTTGGATACATTGACAAATCCATATGTTTTATATCCGTTTTCAATAGGAAAACCCGTTCAAAATGGACGTTCCCATTCACAACTTGTTCTTTACGGCAATAGAACCGCCTTTTGTAAGTATTTTTTCCACAGATATTCGATACCTTTATTTCATTTAAATGACATTAAATTTAATTTAATAAATTTCAGGTGACCAAAGGTATCCGAAAATATTTCGAACGTTTCGGTGAGGTGGATTTTGTACAATTTCATCTAGACCAAAACTTCGAACATGGTTTTGTGCAATTCAAAGACACTGAATGTGCAAAAGCAGTTTTATCAGAAGAAACGCATTGTGTTTCAAATTGTCGTTTAACGATGAATGCTGCCGACAATATTCATCAGCCAAACTTCAAGGCAGAGAATCTGGAACTGCCTCCACAGCAAGATTCGTTATCACATATTTTCATCGCCCTTAATGATGATTGCTTGAGAGAAATATTTCTACGTTTAAAGGCGTTGGATTTATCGAGAGCTGCTGAAGTTTGCGTCCGTTTCAAACAGCTATCGACGGAGGCATTTGCTGCTATGTTCAAACATTTGAAATTCAATTCCGAAACAGTAGAATTCCATCACAGAAGATTTCATCATGATTTCGGAGCTCTGTTCACCAATTTCGGCCCATTAATCAATTCTCTTCATGTTGATGGAAATTGTATGGTAATATGGAGATTAGACCATCTCAAAGCGGAATTCCTTCACATAATCGGTCAATGTGGTACATTGAATTTGCAAGAGCTCGAACTTACGAATTTCACAATAGAGTCCGATTATTTGGATTCGATTTTTCCAAAACTTGAAAAACTCACATTAAATTCGTGTAATTTCGACGAAAAAATGACCGAGTTGTTGGCAACTGCCAGGGAATTGAAAATATTAAAATTCTACAGGTGCCAGATCCCTTTTAACCGTCATCAGTACTGGCAGTGCATTGCACAAGAATACGAAAAGCTTCAGGAGATATACTTAATTGAGAATGGGTTTAATGACGCATATTTGAAAAATTGTATGATTTTGAATCCAATGTTGACTAGGCTATCCATCAAAGAACCGTTTATAGATATATCAGAAATATCGTATTTGGCTGGACTTCATCTGCCCGATTTGTTGGTGTTGGAGATTGATTGTATGAATTCCACTCAACATTCTATTTATCAGGACTACATTTGGATGCTTGATCAACTAGCCACAAACAATGTTTCGATTCAAGAGTTGAGACTACGAGGTGGAAAACTTAATATTGAAGCAATTGATCATATTTTGCAACTGAATCAAATCACGATCCTTGAACTGGTCGACATCAAAGACCTAACTGATGCACATGTGATTGAACTAGCAAAGAAGCTACCACAGCTACAAGAGCTTATTGTCGACTATATAGTTCCGGCCACCTTGAAAAAGATCGTGTCTCTTACAAATAAGCTATCAATTATCAAAATAATGGACAAATACAACCATAAAATCAATGAAGACGACTACAATGCAATGTTGAAATCAATTCAGAAGCGACCAGAACAAATTAATCTTTTGATTGAAATCACAAGTGATGGAAACAATGTGAACGTTTCATCGGAAACTTTAACTGAAAACCATCATTTTATTGACATAAAAGAGCACATCGACGACGCGGATGTTTCCAGCGAAGATTCCTACGATATTCACAACTACAGCGTAAATTATGACGAAATTCATTACGGTTACTTTGATATGGATCTTGTTGACTCCGAATAAAAACACTGTTCAGTTCCCGAACAATCGACCTACGTACATATGATGCGGTTGAAATGAAAATGAGACTTTCGTCGCTCAATACACAGA